ACACTGCCCTCCACCAAGCGCTCGTTGTAGTAGATGAAGAGGCGGCTTGGGGTGAAGTCCGCGAAGTCCTTGTGGTTCTCCACCGTCATCTTGTGCAGGGTGAAGTGGAAGGCCGCTGCCAAAGCGTTGGCTGTGCAGCTGCCCAAGTGTCCCTGGTCGAAGATGGGGAAGCCACCGTTCTGAGGGCGAAGGTCAATGATCTCCTTTGCTCCTGAGCGATCCAGAGAACGCGACAGAAGTTAACAGGCGCGGTAACGCGGGGACAGCGGATCAGGAGAAAGAGCAATCATAAAACCTTCCTAGACCCAACAGAGTCTCCCTCAGCCTTCTTCTTGATCTGGCTGGGAGCATCCTTCTTGTCGAAAGTCACGTGCAGGTCTCGATGATCTGGCATGTCCGGACGCCAGCCAAACCTTTTCTGCGCTGTGCATCCCCCTATACAAAGTTAATAGCAATAATAGCACTAGTCGTGGTAGTAATAATAACCATAACATTAATAGGAATAGTAGTAATAATGATCGTAATAATAGAAATGATAGCAATAGTAATAATATTCAGAATAGTAATAATAGTAACAGACTTAACTTTTTCAAACTCCCTTCCAGGACCCTCGTACTACCCTTACTTGGGGATAGTTATAGGGCTCCTAATTAGTGGGCATTTATCCCACTAATAAAGGGTAGGGGAAGGGTCTAGTTGAACATGGAATAACGGAACTCGAGAGTTATACATCTTTACCCCAAACCCTAAACCCCTATACATCTGTAATGAAGTGCTGAAATTGTAGTAACCCTAAGGGTCCAAGGACCCAAATGATAGGGCTTTAGGGCCCAAATACCATTGATATTACAGTATTTTGGGCCCTAAAACCCTCTTATTTGGGTCCTAAGCCTTACATCGTAGCTTCCGTTGTCTTTTCCATTATCCCTATATATCACCCTATTATTTGGGTCCTTGGACCCTTAGGGTAATATTCCAGAAAAGGAACTTCATAGTCGTCCGCAGGGGAAGGGACACAACGCTTGGGTGCCTTGGCCCGCCACCAACCTTGGCAGTGTCGGAGGCACTGCTGGCATTCCTTACACGGGGGGGGGTTTAGGGAATAAGGGGGGAGGGGGCAATATATATATATGGGGGGGGGTTTAGGGAATAAGGGGGGAGGGAGGAATATATTTACATATATAAGTAGGGTTCAGGGCTTAAGGTTTTAGAGTGATTAGGGAATATGGGAATAGGGACTACATAAGGATTACATTCGATATTCCCTACCAACAACCAGTAAGACTCTTGAAGCCCTCGACCCAGTTGATGGCCCAGAAGTCGGAGGCAAGCGCCGGGTGGCACATGTACTCGTAAGGCATGTAGAAGTAGCCCTTGTCACCCCACCTGGATAGGCTTTAAGGTTGGGGGACTTGAGGGTCTAGGGGTTTGAGGGGAAGTTTTGGATGAACCTCTCTTAGGCATATTTCTCAGACATGCTTTGGGGCTCCAACGCGAAGTGGTGCGTAAGCTAAGGGATACTGGGCTTCCATTCTTCAACTTGGACTAACATATCTCTACAAGGAAACCAAAACCATATGTCCATAGAATGGTAACACAACTCAAATAAATTTACATCCAAAAGGGAACCAAATTTCTTACTGTGTGCCCACATCGTCAACTAAGTTTCTGTGATAGGATTTACGGTTTCCCTAGACCTCCCAAGTAACGTTAGCAGCATAGCTTTGGGTTTACAGGCTTAGGCTGGGGATGTAGCACCTCTAAGCCAAAAACATGAGTCTATAGTCCCCCTTAAGTAGATAGAATATGGGGTATGTGGGGATCTTATTATAATATGCCCATAGCCATATTCTATCTACTTAAGAGGGACTATAGATCCACAATTACGGGGTGTTTCCAAAATTGGAAGGTCTTGGGTTGACAAGTTTTCGCTGCTAGGAGCATTCAAAAGTCCACCCATCTCTGTACTGGACCATGGCCCTTTTTTTAGGGAATCCTGTTTCGTATTTAGAAGATGCTAGACATAAGCGTACACACTAGAACCTAAACCCTATTAGGTACCCCTATAATACATGTAGGGCAAAGTGGTCTAGGTAGGTCACATGTCTGGAGTTTGGCATGGTGGTCTTTGGAGATATACCATAACATTTGGGTTCAATGCCTGAGAGAACGCTTAGGGTACAGGTTTAAGGTTTGGGGTTTAGAGGGTCCATGTTGTGGGTGAATTGGGGGCTGGCAGCAAGGTTAACAAGGTAACCCCAGTACTGGAGAATCGACCAGCAAAGAAAATTGAACATGACGTGGAACCTGGGCGTATATCAGGGTTTGAGCTAGGAGAGCCGGAAGAGAAAATCCCTTGTACTAGCACCCTATGAGAATCAGGTTATAGTGAAGGGGTCCTTCGGTTTGTTTAGGGCTTCCCAAAACCCGAAACCCCATAAACCCTAAACCCGAAACCCTATAACTCTAAACCCCTAAACCCTATAAACCCTAAACCCATAAACCCTATAAACCCCATAAACCCTAAACCCCTAAACCCTATAAACCCCATAAACCCTAAACCCCTAAACCCTGAATAGTAATTTCCTTTTTCTTGTCCATTATCCCTATATAACCCCTATATAACCCTATAATCCCTATACATATAAATATATATATAACCCTTTATTAAACCTAGGAGGTCGGTTCAACCTAGCAGATCGTTGGTTCCTGGGCTTAGGCTCTCGGGCTGCGGCTGCTACGAGGGTTTCCCAAAATTAGGGGCATCCTCAAAGGGTTAGATAGGGGCTATATAGGGTTTAGGGTTTAGGGGGTTTCCCAAAATTAGGGGTATTCTTTCAGGATTATATAGGGGCCGCATAGGGGGTTTCCAAAAATCGGGGTATCCTTAAAGGGCTATAGAAGGGTTTTATAGGGTTTAGGGTCTAGGAGGTTTCCCAAAAATAGGGATACTATTTTCGGGGTCCCAAAAAGGACTGTAGTATTTTTTGGGTCTACATTAGGGTCCCCCTGTTTAGGGAAACTACCACCTCTAGCGTCTATGGTCGTTGAGGTGTGGGCTTCAAGGTTTGAGGAAATGTAGAAGCTTGAATAACCTTCAGGGACTAGAATTTGGGGTTGTATAGCTGTACGATAATATGCCAAAAATCCCCAAACCGTACTCTTGCATTCTTTTCTGAACAGTTTATTATGATGTGAGCAGTACAATCATCTCTCTCCTCACCTGCCCCACCACCCTATACTACCCCTCTAGGTTTCCCCGTTAATTGGCCATGATTAGCCTTGGCTATCCCTAAATAAACAGAAATTCAACGGTTTGGAGTATAGGGAGGAGCCCACGATACAAGGTTCAAAGCGGTGATGGCTTGGCAAGGGTTTAGGGTTCAGGGTTTTAAACCCCGTTCGATAGTGAGAAAGACTGCAATGGGCCACTATATGTGGAGGTTCATGCTCTGTTACACCTGGGTCATAAACACGATAATCAGGCTTTGTAGAAGTTATCCTTGTTCAGAATACTCACAACGCTACTTTTTACAACCCAGGTAACTTCAAGTACCAATTCCGCAAACGCTCTCCGTAGTCCAAACACCCCTTCTCTGATTCCCTACCAACAATATTGCTGAGAACAAAAACCAGACGTAGCCGAGATTACCGCAGGGCCTCAACAATTATCCGCATGACTTTGAAGTCTGTTTGAGGCACTCTGCACTGTAAGCTCCACAAAGAACCTAGCACCATAATATTGGTGACTACATCGGCTTCCATATGAGCTATATTCGAAAAAAAATAAGTATCCCCCTTAATAACCCCTATAGTGGTTCCCTCTAGATTCCCGTATATAACCCTCTTTAAGGAGTTTAAACTGTAGCTCATATTGTTTGGGGGACGAGTTTCTGGCTTGAGGCTGGAGGAACCGCTCCTAATACTCAATGCGTGGATCGCAGCGTAGCTTGCAATTTCTAAGCGCCTTATTGAGCAACGATGTGGCAACCATACGTCGATTGAGTTTGTGGAACAGGAGCCACTATGCGCAATGGACTAATTACTAAATACCTGTATGTGCCAACAAGCCACCCCTCGCCCCAGGAGTTGCGGACGATGAAGCACTGCTTGAAGTCGTCGTAGCCCACGGCGCACACGGCATGGCCACCCAGCTGCTGGTCAGTGGGCTGGGGCATCACCATGTTGCCGGTCGTGGCAACCTCCATGGTCTGGAAGCTTGACAGGACCGCAAAGCCCAACACGAAGGGGTAGCCGTTCTTGAGGCAAGCCTTGAACTGGCTCAGATCCTGAGCCACACGGGCGTAGCCCATGACCCTACATTTCTGCGCCAGCTCGTACGACTTGTCGTCTGGCTGTTGCTTGAAGAAATCGTGCTTGTCATCGTACTTCCACACGCTCTCCGGGCATACGCCAACCTTGGACATCACCTTGATGCCGT